AAAATTTATAGTTTATGTGTTTATTAATGCGGGTATTAGTCGGCCTAAAGGTAGACTGATATTTGGCCGAATAAACATATATGTGGTGATAAACATGTGGCGATTTTTTGGTTCCATGTGATTAATAAGTCAATCCAAAGAGGGGTTTATTAATTGGCATGATTTATTGTCAATGTTTATTATTAATTTTTATAGTTTTTGTGTTTGTTAATTAGCTGACCAAAATATTGGTTGATACTTGGTTGGATAAACACATATATGGTTATAAACATATGACAATTATTTTGGTTTCATGTGATTAATAAATCAATCCAAAGAAGGGCTTGTTAACTGATATGATTTATTGTCAGTGTTTATCACTAAAACAAGGATATCTCTTGCAAGTTAGTATTATTGTCCAAAGACTTGATATTAATGTTGTGTTGATACCTTGTAAAGATGTCATAAATTGAATTTATTGATTACGGTTTATGGATTAATGATCATAAAAATAGATTTGTTTATGTTCTGAAAACAACAAATTTGAATTATGGTATTATATCTGCTAATATTGATCACATTTATGATTCACGTACTCAATGAGATTAATTTTAAGGAATGGAATGATGACATTATTTTAGTTCTCAATTGCATGGATATTGACCTTGCATTATGGATAGAGCAACATTCATTGAGGATGTTTAGTTTGGGGGAGAAACAAGGTTAAAACATTGTCCTTAAGGAGGAACCAATCTTGATTCATATTATTGTTTTCGATAGTATGCAGATTATGAATCAGTCATTGACAATGTTATTCAATCTCCTATCCTGAATAAACAAACTCAACAACCTCAACTTTGGATATCCTATGCGTGGTACCACATTTTTCATCAATTTGTTATCTCTTTTGATTTTGAGGTAAATACAGTAAATGATTTTGTGTATTACAGATTAAGTGGGAGTAAATTTATATTTCAGGTTTTGGGCAGATATCTATGCAACCCAAGTTTGGATCATAAGCAGCCAAATGGATTTTGAGATATCTATATATAACAAAAGGTTATACGCTCAAATATAGGAAATCAGATGCTTTAGAGATCATTTTTATTAGGAATTTGATTTTATTAGATGCCAAAATGGTTTCCGATCCATATCGAGATACTTTTATATTATAGCATGATGATCCATTTCATGGAATAGACTTTGGTATCTTCTTCCATAATGGCAGCATAATTTTTAGCATGGAATATGGTTGCGAAAATTTGTCACGAGGCTACACATTATTGGTATTGAAAGACCACTAAAGTTGTGATAATAAGTCAGTAATGTTATATTCTAACAATAGAGGTTCTATTAAGTCAAAGCATATTGACATCAAGTTTCCTTCTGTTAACAAAATAGTGCAAAATGGAAATATATATATATATATATATATATATATATATATATAT